AGAAATTAATTAATCATCTGTCCCGTTCGGTTTCGGTTCCCCACCTATCTATATTATTTTTTAAATAATAATTATATTTATAATAAATTAAATTTATTTTTTATTTTTTATATATAATTAAATATTTATAATTTATAATTATTATTAATTAAATATACATTTTAATTTATTATATTTATATTAATATATATATATATAAAAGAAATATTTAATTATTTTTATTTATAATATTATTATTATTATTATAACTATGTATTGAAATATTTGAATACTTATAACATTATTATTATTATAATACTGTATTCAAATATTTGATTATATATATAAGTTAATTTATGTTTAAGCTTTTATTTAAAAATATGAAATATATAGTTTATAAGAAAATATTTAATAAGTTAATTCTTATTCAATTAACTCGAAATAATAAAAGTTTAAATTATCAATTCCTTTAATCCTTTAAAATACAATTATTTTATTAAGATAAAATTTGATATATGATAAATAAGAATAATAAGATAAAAAAATATGATATAATAAAACCTAATAAATATAAATTATAAATAAAATAACATTAGTTACTACTAAAATTTATGTAAAATATTTAAAAAAATATAAAGAATAAAAAAATTAACTTTGTATTCATCAAATTGGTTGAAAAGATTGAAAAAAAAAACAAATTGATCGACAGAGATTAAGAAAATATGAAACTGAAAGGTAGGAGAGAATAATGTAATAAATTAATTGATATAAAAGATTAAAAAAGATAAAAAAATTAAAAAGTTGGTAGAAGAAAAACAAAAATAAGTGAAATATAAAAAAATGATCATATATGTAATAGAAAAAGAAAAGGAAATACTTTTAAAATATTAATATTTTAAAATTTAAATATAAAGTCGGGACGAGGACGAGATCGGGTCGGGTGGGATTGCATTACTCATCCCCGTCCCGATCAACTCATATTTTTCCCGTCAAACTTGGATGAGAACTGATCGGTCTCACGATACGAGTTTAATTATCATCCTTAATCGCCAATAACAAATTGGCGAGGGGAATATAGTGGCTAATTATAAACATAAAGGTTAAAATTATAACAAAAATCAAATATAATTATATATTAAATAATTATTTATTAAAATTATAATTACAATTGCTGTATTTTTAATGAATACTTATGTGAGAAATATATCAAGAAATTATTCTACATGATAAGTTTATTACTTTTATAATTTAAAAATCATATTAAACATGTTTTATAGTTCATTGATGACTCGTGATTAGTTTATAAAGTAAAAAAGATAAACAATAATAACCATGTATATTCATGAAATATAATAAATATATTTATTTTGTAAAATATATTTTTTAGTTGAGAGTATTTCAAATTCATAAAAGTAGTTGCGTGAAGATAACGAACTTGGAGGCATCTCTCGCAGTTGGAAAATTGAACCTGAGTTGCTTGTCTCTAATCTAACCTCACTTGATTTTCATAAAAATAGGTTTGAAGTAGAGTTTATAAATTTAATTTTGTATTAATTAGATTTTCTAAAGTTAATAAATTACTTTTTATTTAATATATTTTATTTTTAAAATTATATTTATTAAAATAATTTTAGTACAAGAAAAATATATTTTAGTTGGAAAGTTTACAAAATGATGGTTACATTTCAATATCAGTATATTTTCAATGTCAAAAAAATATTTTAAAATTTACATTTAATTAATATTTAAGAAAAAGAAATTAAAGAAACCCTAAAATAAGAGATAAAAGTTTTAAATACATATATATTTTGTTCTGACTGATTAATTAACAGCTTTACAACTTATTATTACAATTTTATTGATTTAAAATCTAGTTAATCAGATATTGGACTTTTTATAGTATATTTATAAAAAAGAAATAAAAAACATATACTCTAATCAAGAAAAAAATTATAAAAAGTTTATTATTATTATTACTATTATTATTATTATTATTATTATTATTATTATTATTATTATTATTATTATTATTATAAGATATCTCTCACCTTTAAATGATTAGAGGGTGGAAGATGAAAGCAATCAATGACAAGTTGAACAAATAGTGGAATGATTAAGATGAATTAACTAATAAAAGTGAATTTAATAAATTAATTGTTATGTTTACTAAGGACATTATCCAAATGAAAACAAAGGTTGCAAAATGGGCAAAGTAGGTCCAACCATATATGGATGTCACATGGCTCCTATGCTATGACTTTCATGCTGACCCACTGCCACTTTGTTAATATCTTGACTTAAGATTCAGCACAATGCATTTTACTCATAAATATAAGGTTTGGCCACCAGTTTTTGCTTTGCCTTCACACCAAAGCTTCCAAGATATCCCACGGACTAACCTTGAATTCTCCTTCAAATATATCATATCACAGGAGATACAATTATGGAAGTTACATACAATAAAAACTTTAGGATTTATGTTTAGAATTTCATCATATTTTCTTTTTAATATAATAATTAAAATGAGTTATTGTTCTATATTATTATATTATAAAAATAAATAATATAAATAAAAAAATTGTAACTTTTATTACAATAGATTTCTTATCGTGTATATATAATATAAGATCAATCTTAAAATAAAATAAAAAAATATTAATTCAATTATACTATGAAATCTGATTTACTATAGTATTTTATAAAGGGAATATTGTTTTAGAGTATTTTATTTTATGTAAATTGAATCATATATTTAGTGATGTCTTAATGTGATATCAAATATAGCTTATTATGTTTTTAAATAAATAAAAATATTTATTAATTTCTTAATCAAATAGTAAGACCCTTTTATGTAAAATATTACATCATTGAAAATAATTATAGACAAGGAAAAACAGAGAGGAAGGAAAAGAGAAATAAAAATAATAATGTCTACAGCATTTCAATTGTTTGAATAAAATGAAGTACGAAAATTTCCTTTTTATTTAAGAAAAAATGTATATACAATATCATTGTGTTGTATTATTTTCAACTGGATTTAGAATTTTGATCATTTGCATAACAATAATTCTATTATTAAGTAATAACACTTTAATTACACCCTCGTAGAAATAACAATTGGATTTGATTTAATTTTCTATTTATTCTAACCTTTTGACTTCTGTAAAATATATTTTGACATTGTTTTAAGAAATATAATTAAAGAGAACTTCTTGTGCAATTCTTTCCAACTTTTAATGACATTCCTATTTCTTTTAGTTTCAAAAATAAACACTTTTTTTCTTTTTCTTTTTCTAATAAAATAGCAATCAAACCTTTTTCTAATTTTTAGAAAACACTTTAAATTTGTAAAATTAAAATTTATCTCTTTTACAGTATTTTTTATAAAATAATATTTCCCTCCCTTATTTTATTTAAAAATAAAATATTGAATTAAACTTGAAAAGAAATTTAGAAAATTTAAAATTGAAGTGTTAAAATATATACAAATTATTTTTTTTATAAAAATTTAAATGTTTTAACTACTATATATTAATCATATGTAAACAATTACATTACATGTCTTATAAAAATATTAATTTTTTTAAAACATTATTTTTGGATTGTTATACTTTAAAATAATTTTAATACTGTATAAATATGTTTTGTACAAATACAAATATATATATATATATATATATATATATATATATAAGTAAAAAAATAATGTATTTAAGAAAATTTCAAAGGTGATGCAATTGTTCTAAAATTAATTTTTTTATTATAAAACAATTAATTTTAAATTTTCATAATTTCAATTAAATTTTAGTTAATATGTTATCTTTAAATAAAATAAAACAAGTTAATGGAATTTTATTAAAACATAAAATAAAATAATGTAATTTTAATAAAAATGTAGTAAATATGTGTTTTTTTATATTAAAAATCATTTTATTGAAAATTTAAAAGAAAGAATGATTACTTAAAAACTTAAAGGTGTGAATGTTATTAGCACAATCCCATTAAAAAATGTAATTTTTCTAATATATTGTAAAAACTAGCCCCAACATAGTTTTGATGTTTTTTCATTTAGAGATGTTTGGACCTTTGTGGTGTGTATCATTTATCATGAGAAATATAATGGTTAAACTTATATATTTACTAAATATGTAGAAAAAGTTATTGCATCTCATTACTTCCTATATTGATTTGAAAGTCAATAGGTCAAATGACTAATTTTAGTTCACTTTTAGTAGACATATAATGTAATGTCATTTTTTAAAATTTAAATTAGCCAACAGCAAATTTTGGGAAAAATTAAAATTAAAAAAAGAGGATACTATTACTTATGCTCTTCGTCAATTTTCAATCAATTAGCTCCACTATAATCAATTAACTCAACTCTAATGGGGCCAAACTTCTTAAGAGTTAATAAATTTTTATAATTTAAATTAATATTTATGATTTAGATTCTAAATTTAATAATTATTAAATATATTTATTTGTATATTTATAAATACATTAATCATGTTAAGATCCCTCAGTGAGCTACTTAAGAGTTAGTTCCATTATAAATTATTATCACAAAACATGAATAAAATTCATACGAAATCCTTTCAAATAATACAAAATTGATCCAAAATTTTAATATAAAGTAATTTATAAATATTAACACATAATGAAATATAATTTGGTCTTTCAAAAAATATTATAACAACCATTTTTCACATATTTGAATTAACTTAATTTGAAAAGTAGATGTGAAATTTAACGCAATTGACGTGCACACAAGAGGTATCAGCGAAAAGCCAAAATAAGAGAGTGAAAGGAGAAAATATAGCGAAATTGCAGAAAATAAAAGTCAAGAAGCAACACAATATCTCTTTCTTTTTCTTCTTCACCTTCATTCTTCTTTGGTGACAAATTCTTTCTAACAGAGATCACAACCTTGAGAGAGAGAAAGCGCATTAAAAGACCAATTTGCCCTTCGATCTTATTCGCCTTTCTCTCTCTCGCCAACTCCCAACCTTTTCATTCGCACCATGAACGAGAAGGCCAACGTCTCCAAAGAGCTCAACGCCAAACACAAAAAGGTTTTCCCCTATTTTCTCTCCCATCCTCCGCGATTTTCCTTTGAATCTTATTAATACGTTAATGCGCCATGTCCGAATTTCACAAACTTGGATTCAACGAGGAATGGTGATAATGAGAATTCTGAGTTGCTGGATTAGATTCGATCGCTGTCCGATTCGCTTATCGAGAAATAACTTCTGAGTCGCGAGGTTTTGTGATTGCTTATTTATGACGTAATTATTTGTTACGTGTTTTTAAAATAAAAGAAAAAGAAAATTAGATGTGATGTGAGGAAATGGATCGATGATTGGTGGTGATGGATTAATGGTTATAGCATAAATTGATATGCTTGTTATAAGCTTGATTGTTTCGGGGATTAAATTTTGATTAAAAAAAAATTATATGGAAATGGATCGATGATTGGTGATGATGGACTGATGGTTGTAGCATAATTTGATCTGCGCGCGTCATAATGTTTAATCATTTTCGAGATTAAATAATGAATCGAGGCTGTTAATTTATTACACTTAGTACTTTGGATCCATTTCTCTTATCCTGATGTAATTCCTACTTCATTTTCTGTTTTCTTTTTGACGATGCTTGATAGTACAATATTATGGAGTCATTGACGCATTGTTGGTAGGAAATTTGGGGTTGCTCAAAGTCTCTGTCTTTGATCTAGAGTAAACTTTGCTTTTTCCTTTGGTGTTTCTCGTTTTATTGATTTTCCTATTACAGGTATTTGGGTGTTTGTTAGTTTGTAATTGAGGAGAAGTTGATCCATAGAATTGGTTGTGGTCATAGGAAAAAAGCTTGGTGGGGATCTTATTTAGTTTGAGAGAAAAAAAAAAAGAATATTTATTTATTCTTTCTCTCTCTCTCTCTCTCTCTCTAATATATATATATATATATATATATATATATATATATATATAGAATTACAAGAAGTGTTCCACTTACTTTTTCATCTTCATATTTTATTTTTATTTTCTTGTAATCTAATAATTAAAATAAATTAATATTTTAAACTATTGGATTAAAAAAAATGAACGCGAGAATGGTAAGTAAATCTCATATATATATATATATATATATATATATATATATATTGAACCGAACAATACTTCGGTTAATTTATTTTGGATGGTTGGTTAATTTTGTTCGTTAGAATATCCATCAATTTACATATATACTTTTATTATATATTTGAAATCCTTACTTTTCAAAATATGAACTTTGGATTGTTTCATTCATTGAAACTTATCACCTTTTTTTCATGCTTTTCCTTTTATCGATTGATTGAATATTTTAGATATTTACTTTAAATTAAATGTGCAGATATTGGAAGGACTTCTTAAACTACCAGAGAATAAGGAATGCGCTGACTGCAAAGCTAAGTATGTATCTGGCTGGATACAAATGATCCAATCTTGATCTCACATTCTTGTGTCAATAGGCATAGATGAAAATAGAGATAATAATCTGACCATGAAAATTTATTTTCATGTGTAGGCATTTTCTGGGATGTTTTTTTATTGTAATGTTTGTTCACAATTTTCTATAAAATTTTTATTTGCAGAGGCCCAAGATGGGCCAGTGTCAATCTTGGCATCTTTATATGCATGCAGTGTTCTGGAATACATAGAAGTCTTGGGGTACACATATCAAAGGTAATGTTATGCTCCTTGGTATTGTAAAAGTGATTGAATCTGTCAGTCTCTTGTAATGTTGTTTCTTAAAATGGTTTCATTTTGATCTATCAGAAACAAAATCATGAGGGGGAAATTTTGTATAATAGTCATCTGGTGTGGAAATAAAATATTTGTGAATTCAATTATGAAAAGCTAATTAAATAGTCTACTAGACTCCATTATTTGTTTTGAGGGACAGTGTATTATTTTCAAGCTCATTTCACTCGCTTGTTTGCTAAATACTGGCAACAAGGATTTTTAATGAGTACCAATAGTAAAGGGATATATGCCTTCTTAGCTGGTAATTTGCTTCTTGGTTGTAATAAGAAATTTGTGCTGCTGTACTGCATCCGTTCGTCAATGTATGGTGACACTGTCATTCTTTAGCAGCATCCTTTTGTTAATATATGGTGATACTGTCATTCTTTTTACCGTGGCCCTGAAGAATTACAAGCTGATAATATATTTGGTTCTCAAAATGTTTCTGTATGAAGTCAATGCTGACCCAATTTGATAGAGGCACATCTGAAACATGGCTCCTAGTCCTAGGTCATGATAATTGACTTTTTACAATAGTCTCTAAATATTTTTGTTAACCAAAGGCTGGTTCTAAATTTTTTTGTAAAATTCTTATTTATATGCTTACCTGGTAGCTTATCTGCAGGTTCGCTCAGCAACTTTGGACACCTGGCTTCCAGAGCAGGTTGCATTCATTCAATGTAAGAGAATCTAAATTGTCATGACCTTGTGGCTATTTTGAGTTCTGTTAGTATGCATTAGTTATATAGTCTTCTCATTATATTTGAATTTCCTTTTTGGCCCTATATAGCGATGGGAAATGAGAAGGCAAATAGTTACTGGGAAGCAGAATTACCCCCAAATTATGATAGAGTTGGAATTGAAAACTTCATTCGTGCAAAGTATGTCTGTTGATGAACACTTTAAACCAGACTGAATTTTTTTTCCTTTTCGATCTTTTTGTATATTTAGAAGTATATGCTTATTATGTCCACCTGGTTAAGATGATTCTTTGCTTTCAATCATTGCATTTAATTAAAGGTATGAAGAGAAGAGATGGGTTGCAAGAAATGAGAAACCTAAATCACCATCTAGTTTTCGAGAAGAGAAAAGTCCTCCACATTGCCAAAGACCTGCGGAAAGAGTCGGCCATAGTTATGCAGCTGTCTCCGAGAATACTTTTGAGGAAAGGAAGAAAATCCAACCATCAAATGCAATTCCTGCTACAAGAATTTGTGTTCCTGCCCCTCCCAAAGGGCCTGAGCTGGTAAGCTCTCTCTCTCTCTCTCTGTCTCTCTCTCCATAGCGGCCTATGGCACAACAATAGTTGGTCTCCCTTCACAAATTGCCTATGGTAGAGGGGTTGTAGCCATATGGTGATACTATAGTCTATAACAGTAATTTAACAATAATTCTCGTACTCATGTGGTGAATTATATATGGCGCTGTGGTTGTAGAGTATGTTCTGCTACCCATGTTTTAACTCGAGCTACTAGTACTTTTAGCAATAAAACTACGAAAAGAAGGGACATGCATGGAGCTCCCGCCATCAACTTCGGAGCTATAATAAATAAGCTGTCAAGTTTAAGTTTGGATTTCTCCCTCTTATTTTTAAGGGAAAAAAAGGCCCCGATTGGTGCTATTGTATGCATCTTGAATGCATAGTTCTTGATATATAAGCCTCTATTGAAAGAAAAATGATCGGATTGGTGGTTAGGTAATGCACCACTGATTATGATAACAAAAGTGAATGAAAGAAGCCATCATGGCATTTATTAAAAATTATTGGGCTTAATTGCCAAAATTGAAATGCACTTTTTTTAATGATAATCAAGTTTTCAAGTACTGTTGTGGCTGTGGCAGTTGTGTTGGTTGTCAAAATGTTTCTCAAATTGAGAGTAAAGAATCCATAATACAGAAAACATTACAATGTTTTCTCGAATTTGTACTCTAAAATTTTAATATGGAGAATGAGTTTTCAAAACAATAAGAAGAAAATAGACACCAGATAAGTTGGCTGACTCATATTTGGATCTCGGTCCAAGTTATGCAATATTAAAATTAATATGCTGATCCCTTCCAGGGAAATTTATGATTGAGTTAAATCTTGCTAGTGATGGATGTTGGAAAATACTGTAAGAGAAATATTAATTTTAACAACTATTATATAAAATAATTATATCTGTATATACATTCAATAACTTGTACGATAAACTATGACACTGGGTAATTAACATAGATAATGTCTTTTTCTTTCTCTTTTATGTGAAAAGTATTTTCTTTCCTTGCTCTTTAAAGATGAAAGTTTCATGGTTTCTACGTTTTAGAAGTGTGAAAATAATTTCTGTACAGGTAACTCCTGTGGCAAGACCACATGTTGAGAAAGCGGAACCTGTTGGACCAACACCACGAGCTGAAACTTCAAAACAGACTACTGTCACAACACAAAACTCCCCTCCAAAAGTTGACTTTTCTACGGATCTTTTTGACATGTTATCTATGGATGGTCCAAATGAAAAGGGTTCAGGTGCAACTGATTCTAGTGCTGATGATAGTAACTGGGCAGGTTTTCAGTGTATGTTATATGCATCTTTTGGGAAAAATACATTATGGAAGCACTAATGAAAGTGCTTCTAGGCATTTTTTTTAAGCTTCTTGGTTTTTAATTTGTTGTGTTTGTCTTAGTATTTAATTTGTTTGCTATGATTGTCTCAGCTGCTCCAGAGGCATCGACAGCTGAGAAGACTGATACCACAAAATCAGTTGACAGTATACCTCAGTCCGCATCTGGAATTGAAGATTTATTTAAAGACTCACCTTCAGTTGCACCAAGTTTAACTCCAGAAAAACCACAAAAAGATGTTAAAAATGATATCATGAGCCTCTTTGAGAAGGTACGTGCCGGTGCTTCAATATGTTTGTTGAAGACTGAGTTTCTTTTTGTTGAGACATGTTGTTTTTCTATCTGTTTGTATTATTTGGGTATGTTCCTTAGACTAGGGTTAAAGGTTTGGGTTGAGGCCCATATCCTCTTTGTTGTATCAGAGCGGGTACAATCCTGCACTGATTTTCGGTCATCCCTGTCATCTCTAGTCACGGTGGGCTGCCGTTCGCTGCCGACCACCATCTCAGTTTGGTATGGTGAAGGTAGGGTTTGCTACGCCTCGAAGAGCGTGACCTACTCCCGTCAATCGCTCCTTCATCTACGGTCCCACGCGCAGTTTCTCCAAGCAGAGCTCCCAGGTGCGTGTGTCCCACGCGTTGCCCTCCAGTGGCCGGAATGAAGGCCGATTACCACCGGTCGACTCGCCGGCGCCCTTCGAGTCTAGTGGTGCTCTTATTTTTCTATTTTGAGAACTTTGGTAGCTAGGTCACGTGGGTACCCTATTGGTTAGGTTTATCTTTCATCTCTGTTTCAGATAAATGACTTCATCTAGTGTTTTTTTTTTCTTTTTCTGCTACTTCCACCATAAACAGTGCTAAACTCAATTGAAAAAATTATCTATCCTAGTCTGCAACAGTTGAACTATGATTTCTAGGTCATGGTATCATGACCATTTGGAGAAAGATGTAAACTCTGTTTCTGCCTCAGAGAGATCTCAGTGGGAGAAAATAGACTTCTAGTTTTGTACAATCTTATGGCAGTTTGTGGAACCTGAGGTTATTAAGTTTCTCAGGTCATTCAAAACCTGTTCTTCCTTTTGGAAAAAGGCTCAAGACATTTTTTTTCTAACGATATTCAGCGTTTCTTTGATGCAATTCAAAGAGTGACGTCTCTCAAACAGACAAATCATGACATGATGTCTTACATTGCAAAAGCTAGGGTTGTTGTGGAGGAATTAAAAAGGTTTCTTGTGGCAAATACCTTATAGGAGTTAAACTCCATATTTGATAAGTTGTATATGGTCCGAATTTTGAGGAGTCTGTACTCTGATTTTGATCATTGATCATGTACGTAATCAAATCTTAGTTGGTGATCAGGTCTGTCAATGGATAGTCTTATCACGAGGCTGATTCGAGTTCCCAATCTCATGACAGATGAAAATCAGGTGTAAATAGTTGAAACTTCAGCTATGGTTGCTCCTCGTGGTCGAGGAGGAGGACATAACAGTCGAGGAGGACGTGGGAGTACAAAAGATCATCCTCAATGTACCTATTGCAAGAAAATGGAGCACACGCAAGAAAACTGTTATTCCTTACACAGTTTTTCTGACAAGAATACCACTGTCCATGTTTCTAAGTCTAAAAAACTGGATATGAAAATCTCTGATGAGGAGTATCAAGAGTTTTTGAAGTTCAAATCAGGAAAGTTTTTGAAGGTCAAAACCCATGGATTCTTGATTCAGGTGCCTCTGATCATATATATGGTAACAATTCCTCATTTTTCTTCATGTCCTATCCTTAAATTCCTCATCTGATTACTGTGGCTAATGGATCTAAAGTAAAATCACAAGGAATTGGTCATGCTCCTTTAACCCCTTTTTTGAATTTAAATTTTGTTCTTTTCATTCCTAATCCCTTATAACTTGATTTGTCTAAGTCAATTGACTCGTTCTCTGAATTGTTCTGTAACCTTTAATTCCAATTCTTTTGTTATTCACGAACATGGTACAGGTCGTCTGATTGGACAAAGACATGAATCACGTGGTTTGTACTATCTAAGTCCAAGTTCTTCGTGTCATGTCTTCTCCTACTCCTAAACTTTTGCGTGATCGTTTGGATCACCCAAGTTTACCAAAATTGAAAGTGATGACTCCTAATCTCAAACATCTTCAGGGTTTAGAATGTGAATCTGGCCAATTAGGAAAACATGTTAGGTTTACCTTTCCTAAATACTCTGAAATTCGATAATTTTTCTTTTTCAAATATTCATTCTGATGTTTGGGGACGAGTTGTGTCTCTTCATTTGGCTTCCGCTATTTTGTAACCTTTATTGATGAATTTTCCGGATGTTCTTGGGTTTATTTAATGAAAGACATATATGAAATTTTGTCCATTTTTGTGTCCTTCAATAAAATTAAAAATCAATTTGGGAAGATAATTAAAGTTCTCAGAAGTGATAATGCCAAAGAGTATTTTTTTAGCCTCCTTCTCTTCTTTTTTTATCTTCCCAAAGCATTTTACATCAGTCAACTTGCTCTCACACTCCACAACAAAATGGTATTGGAGAAAGGAAAAATAGGCATCTTATTGAGACTGCACGCTCTCTAATGTTGAATGCTAATGTTCATGTTCATCATTGGAGAGATACAGTTTTCACTATTTGTTTTTTTTTATCAATCGAATGCCATCTTCTCTTCAAAATCAAATTCCTCATTCTCTTATCTTTTCAGATGATCCTCTTTATCATGTGTCTCCTCGTGTATTTGGTTGTAACTATTTTGTACATAATGTCTCTTCAGGTCTTGATAAGTTAAGTGCTAAAGCCATTAAATGTGTCTTCTTTGGGGTACTCTCACCTCCAAAAAGGGTACAAATATTATTCTCCATCCACCAAAAGGTATTACATGTTTGTTGATGTCACATTCTTTGAAGAAACACCCTTCTTTTCTTCCCCCATGGAGGATGGTTCCTCTATTCAAAATATTCTTCCTATACCGTCATGTGATCCACTTATAATACCTGATCTTTCACCAATTCAACCTACAGATCTCAATGATTCTCTTCCTCTTCTTACATATCATTGCAGGACCCCACCTACACCTTTACCAGATTCTGCAGATAATAATGATTCAAAACCTTCGCCGTTAGCTTCTCATACCATGGATCTTTCGATCTCTTCTCCCACTTCTGATTCTGGATGGCATATTGTACTCAAAAAAGGTATTTGTTCTTCTCATAATCCCTTTCCTATTTATAACTCTTTAAGTTACCATTGTTTGTCTCCTTCCTATTCCTCTTTTGTTGTCTCTTTGGCTGACACCACTATTCCTAATACTGTCCATGAGGCTCTTGATCACCATGGATGACGACAAGTCATGATTGATGAAATACAGGCTCTTGAGCACAATGACACTTGGAAGCTTGTCCCTCTTCCTCCTGGCAAAAAGCTTGTGGGTTGTAGGTGGGTCTATGCAGTTAAAGTTGATAATAATGGTAAAGTGGATAGTCTTAACACTCATCTATTAGCTAAAGCCTACACTCAAATTTATGGCCTCGACTACTGTGATACCTTCTCTCTAATAGCTAAGATTTTCACTATTCGTCTTTTTCTTGCTATGGCTATTATTCGTCATTGGCCCCTTTACCAATTGGACATAAAAAATTTCTTTCTTCTTGGTGACCTTAAGGAAGAGATTTATATGGAGTAACCTCTTGGATTTGTTGCTCAGGGGGAGTCTGGTTTAGTGTGCAAGCTACACTAGTCTCTTTATGGCTTAAAGCAGTCATCCCGAGCTTGGTTTTGGAAAATTCAGTCATGTTGTACAGTTGTTTGGCTTGAAAAGGGGTGAAGCAGATCACTCAGTGTTTTATTGTCATTCCTCTTCAGGCAAGTGTGTGTATCTTATGGTTTATGTTGATGATATTGTTATTACAGGTAATGATTATACTAAGATCAGTCAACTGAAGAATCATCTATTTGCTCATTTCCAAACCAAAGATCTTGGTCAATTGAAGTATTTCCTTGGTATTGAAGTGGCTCAGTCAAAGGAAGGTGTAATCATCTCTCAAAGGAAATATGTTATTGATATTCTGAAGGAGACATGTTTAACAAATTGTAAACCCATTGATACCCCAATGGACCCTAATCAAAAATTGATTAAGGAGAAAAGTTGTCAGACCCAGAAAGATACAGGAGATTGGTTGGTAAACTCATTTATCTTACTATTACCCGACTGGATCTTTCTTATGCAATTGGAGTAGTTGCCCATTTATCCAAAATCCTTGTACTGATCATTGGGATGCCTTGATTCACATTATGAGATATGTTAAAGGGCCCTAGGACAAGGATTGTTATATGAAGATAAGGGTAATACTCAAATTCTAGGTTATTGTGATGCAGATTAGGCTGGTTGTCCCATTGATAGAAGATCTACTACTGAGTATTGTATCTTTTGGAGGGAATTTGATTTCTTGGAAGAGGAAAAAACAAAGTGTTATTGCTCGATATAGTGCAGAAACTGAGTATAGATCTATGACACTTGCAACATGTAAACTTTTGTGGATCAAACAACTTCAAGAATTAAAATTTTGTGATAATGGGCAGATGAAGTTGTTTAGTGATAATCAGGCAGCTCTCCATATTGCCTCCAACCCAGTCTTTCATGAAAGAACAAAACATATTGAGATTGATTGTTCTTTGTTAGAGTAAAGTTAGTGTCTAAGGAACTTGTAACTGAATTTGTAAGCTCCAATGAGCAACTACTGGACATTTTAACTAAATCCTTGAGAGGTCCTAGGATTCAATTCATTTGTTCCAAGCTTGGTGCTTACAATTTATATGTTCCAGTTTGAGGGAGGTATTGAGATATGTTGTTTTTCTATCTTTCTGTATTCTCTGTATGTTCCTTAGACTAGGGTTAAAGGTTTGGGCTGAGGTCCATATCCTCTCTATTGTATCTCCTTTAACTATAAATACAATGTAACAATGTCTTTAGACACTGTATTGAAACCCTAAATAATTTTCTCAAGTCTTTTTAAACTTTATATATGGCTAGTAATCTTTTTTTAAAGTCTACACATTCTGTTGTTATTTGAGCATTTCTCCTTGCCCAATGTGACTTATCATCCAAGACATTAGAACGAATTAATTTAGATGTTGATCTCTCTATCTTTTTGTTTTGGTATGCAAATGAGATTTTACCTGACCCGGTAATCTGGACATCTGCAGGGCAATACGGTGTCTCCATTTGTTATGCATCAACAGCAGCTGGCCATGCTGGCACAACAACAGTCTCTTCTAATGGCTGCTGCTGCTAAATCTGCTGGTGTGGATTCCAAGTACTTGGCTAGCTTACAGCAACAGCAGTCTCTTCTAATGGCTGCTGCTGCTAAATCTGCTGCTGGGGATTCCAAGTACCCCGGCAGCATACAACAACCTGGGTCCAATATTCCTGTCCAAAGTTGGTCTGGGGCTGGCTATCCAATCCCAGGTACAATGCCCATGGGTGGTCAGGAAGACTTGCAGAAACTAATGCAGGTAAATAATTTAAGGAAGCATCAAGTTAATTGATTAATAATTTGGTCTTGACTGTTCACCAATTCATTTCTCTTCGTTCTTCTGTGGTAGACAATGAACGTGACTGCAGCGCATTCAGCAGGGAATCCAGTTCAGTATCCACCATCTAGGTACAGCGCTGGGTTTTTTTATTAAAAGTCTATTTAATTCCAGCATGGGTAACTTATTAAGAATTTAGCTTGAATTATGACCGAATCTTTTTTCACAAGATTCTGAATATCTTAGGTTGTTGATACTGATGTCAATCAGAAGGACTCATCATTCCCTAAATCATATGTAGAGTATAGGCTGTGCTGCCAAAAGGCTATTTAGATTTGTTTTTACTGTTTATTCAAGTTGATTTCCCTTCGTAGAATTTTCTTCTTTGGCCAAATTACTCTATTGGTTCCTTATTTTTTTACGATGTGTTTCCTTCACTTCTAAAATTTTCAGTATTGTCCTTTCCATTAAATTTACAGTAACGGTGTTGGCAAAATTAGTCACACGTCACTGTCACACTTTGTGACTACAATCTTTTTGAAGTCAATAAAATGTAAATAACATGCGATTTAAAAAATAAGGGGATCAAATTGAATCAATCAAATAAAAAGAGTAACTTGGCCTTTTCCTTTCAAGTCAAGTGCCGGTGCCAATTGGCTTTGGAATCATTTTCTTGTTAATCGACTTGTGTGCCCCATATGCTAATTCGAATGAACGCATGCCAATGAGGCATTCTTTTTTTTCAACATTTCTTACAAATTTACGAGTAATATGATGGCTTACTGGCTGAAGATTATGTTTCAAATATGCGTTTAACCCTTGCAACAAATCTTACTTTAGTAATCGAAACTGCTCCTTGTTTGTACAGGATCTATACAATGCTTCTGTTCATTCAAAGAAGTCATCACACGAAACATATATCCATATTGCTTCTGTTTGATTTTTTCTATTGTTTTATTTACATTTCTCTTTTTTAGTTAACTAAGTAGCCTCTTGTTGCAGTTACTATGCTATGGGGCAAGTTGCCCCAGTTAATGGTACGTCAACAACGGCAGGAGCAAGCAAACCTCAGTCGGCATCTCCGGTACCATCGACCACTTCAAAGGCAGGGAGCGATTATGATTTCTCCTCTTTAACACAGGGAATGTTCGCTAAACACTGATTGACCTGTGCTTTACACTTCCGGCAATGTCATATACCATAGAAGATTAGTTAAAATTACAGAAAAAGTGCTCTTTCTTTTTCTCATCACAGCTACTGAGCTAGTTCAGTTTTCTTCTTGTATCGGGTGATTGTTTCATTTGTACCCATAGGTGTATTCACAATAAAAATTTAGTGATATTAATTATTTTATTTTGTTCTTTCTCTTTATATCTTGTGTATAAGAGCTCAGTCTTTCATGTGAACTATGTTCAAAACACATCACGTCATAGTTACTCCGGCAAGTCTTTTGTTTCGTTTTATTCAAATATGTAAGTTTTGTAATTAATTATTCAAACCCTTGTTTGAAAAATAAAAGAACAGTAAGGTTATAAGATGAGTTAAATGTGTTTAAATATGCTGTGACTTTAATGGAGGACACAACGGAAGTATAAGAATTCTTGAAAATTTATTCTATTCCATTTAAGTTAATAGTATAATAAAATAACTATCTCAATTCTCACGAGTCCCATGCGGTTGTATTAGCATTCTCTTACAATTAAGCTCCACTCATTTATATCAACTTCTGGATCCTACGATGTTCAGCTTAAACTGTAGCTGATATTCCTTTTTAAATCTTTTGGCCTAGTAATGAACGTGCCACTTGGCCTTATCTTTGACGAGACTATTGTGAGATTAAAAACATGAAAACTACAATTCACATCCCTTAAAGTAAGTAGAGCATGTTTTGGTCACTCTGAATTTCATTATCAAAATCTAGCTCCGTTAATCAGACCAACAAAAATATATTCTGTATTTGGAGGAAGAATTCGGCAGTCGTATGCAAAGTCTCATTTGACTTCCTATTCCATTGAGTACTTTGTATGACTTATATACATGAATGTAACTGTTAAAGTAAAAAAGATCAAAGGCGTATCAAGAGCGAAGAGATTTTCTACATCACCATTGTGGCTGGGAACAGCCTATCTAAGAAAGTATATACACCACCACCTAACAACATTGCTCCGCTGTGACAAGAAAATGGTGACATGCATAAGAAACGTAGAAAGTATGAAATTCAAAAAGGAAGTAGATACTCTCCAGTCTCTCCAAACTAGGAAATGATCGGAACATAAATTGTGTAGGGGGTACATGAGTGGGTACCCTTTAGGTGCTTAATCCCTTATTAAAAATTTTAAAAAATTACCTTATAGGATTTATCCATGCTGAGAACTGGCGAAATGAAAGCAAGCTCTGCCAGTAGAGATTTGAATCAGAAATATTTTCCATGAGACAGCATGTTAAAAGGGCGATGCTTTAAGTTATTCCATAGCCAACAAAGACATGTACTGACCTGTAATGCTCCAGCGAAAGTAGCAGCCAAGAGTAAGGGAGAAACATAGCCAGTTGTGTATGTCAAGAGTAAGCTGCCTCCAATCACAGGATCCTGTCAAGAACTCATTATTTTCTTCATCCACATAAGAAGGACTAAATATGTGAAGTGACAAACAAATGGACATTATTATATAATGTAATCATGGGCATATAATGGTTAAGGCTGTTAATCATCCCTTCCACTTTGGTGCACCAGAAAGCAATGGGAGCATTGGTATCTTGTGCTTATGTGAGAAGAAAATAGAAAGCTAACGTGAGCTTAGCTTTTCTCTGAAGTTAGTTAGAATCAGCTTACCATGTCAACTTTTAAAGAAGATGAGAGAACTTTTATAAAAGTTACAGTACATAAGTTGATTGTAACTTGTAATCTCAATTCCTTTAACCTTTTTTTTTTTTTAACTTCGTAGAGTGTTTACAAAAAAGTTTATGCAAACAGGACTATCTTAGATTCTAAGTTATAGAACCCTCTAGAGTTTTTTAATTGATTAACTGAAACTATTTAGGAAAATAAATAAGCTGCCAGAGAGAAATAATGAAAGACCTAATGGTTACCTTAGATGCAGCAACATATCCCAGAAGGGTTGCCAGAACAGGTGTACTACAAGGTGAGGCAGCTAATGCAAATGTAAGCCCAGCCAGGTATGCTTGCACACCTAAGAGTAGAATTCCTTACCATAAAATGTTCTGCATACAAACTTATATAACAAAAGAACTAAAGTTAGCAAAAGAGCATAAACTTACTGGATGGAAAATTGGCAGCTGCTGCACGTGGATCAAAACTGTCAAAGAATGACGGGAGCCGTAATTCAATGATCTGCAAAATTTTCTCAAAATGAATTCCAAATATGAACAAAGTGTTTATTCAAGGAATATTTTGTAACGGATTGGCCTTTAAGGCTTGTTTAAGCTAGTCTGTTCCCTACTCTAAAAAGCTTAGAATTGTGAAGAATGTTTCGTAAGCATGGTGCACATCAAACTCTCTCTGACGAAATTGATCTAAATGTAACTGCACAGAGCTTATGCTAACTAACGTAAAGCTTGCATGAACTTTTAAATTCATAATTAAATCATAAAACTTGAAGGGAGTTAGAAATTATCTCAACATTAAATAACTAGAAGACTGAGCTTTGAGTCCTTTGACAGACGTAATCCACTATAATTCTTTGATATTTAAAGATTCAGTACAGAATATTATGCATAAATGGTTCCAAAATATACTGAATAACACTGCTGACTGAGACTGAGTCCTGGGTGTTATTGCAGGCCAAATGAAAATAAAAATAAAAATTGATAGCACTGATTTTCATAACTTGAAAGTATGTAACCTTTAGAACACAGGGAAGGGGGAAAAAACCTTTTTCAGTACCTCGAGAAGGTTCAAACCCATAATTATAGCCAAACCAGAAGCAGCCAAAGGCAATCCTTGGCCAATCTGCCCATAAGCTTTTCCTGCAAATGAAGCTCCTACACCCAACAGTGCTAATGTGGTTGCAAGACCTAAGGAAAATGCAATGGAATCTCCAACAACCTGCCAGGCAGATGAGATCGTTATTAGTGATAGTTTTGTCCGAGTGTCTGTGTGTGGGTATGAGAGAGTCTCACTCAGAACTTATGGAAATAAGAGAAGTGGAGGAAATGAAGCACTTTTGAAAAAATAATCTATGCAATGCTATGGGTCTTAGTGAATTCCTCAAATATGCATCAACTGAACTAATAAGGTCACTGTACATACACTTCCAATAAAAAGTAGAGACCAAAGATCCAGCATTTTACATACAAAGCCTGCTTTGAATTAATTGCAAGACACTAGCTGATAAATTGTGCTACATATGTCAGATTTGTGCCTCTTAGTAGGAACCTAAAAGATTAAAAACATATAGTTAAAATCACCAATACTTCCTAAAGACATCTCCCTTGCTATATTAGCATTCAGCATTAGTAATCATAAAACTTCAATCCTCAAACATGGTCATAAAAAGAGATAAGAATTATGTCACAGAACTAGTTATTACCTCTGCTCTGCTTTTGCCAGAGCCAAATGCACCTGAAATATTTCCAAACGGCAAATTTAGGCAACTAAAAAGGCACTACTAATAAAAATGATAACAGCATCATGCTCACCAATGTAACCAAGGGTCAGTGGTAAGACACTAAGAGTACAGGGAGAGAGGCTGGTTACAAGCCCTGCCCCATAAATTACAGCCAAACTGTAAACATAAATAAACAGCAAGCAACAAACTATTAACATGTGTTTCCAATTATGGGGAGCGAAAATAGAAAGAAAATAATGTATAGGAATTTATAGTGGACCTAGTGAAACTGAGAGATGATAGTTGGCCCTGAACAGCTTCATTGGCCTGTTGTCCAGCTGAGAATAGAAAGCCTCCAAACCAGTCATTGAGGCTTCCATCAGCCAAAGCATAAATAGAAGCAGCCACTTCCTGAGTCAGGAAAATAATTCTAGTGCCTGAGTGATATGCAAAGAATGAAACAAAGAGGGCACCCAGTATGACTTGGATCCTTAGTGTTTATCAGGATCTGAAACAATTTGTGCCATTTCAACTATCAAAGATATTCACAGAATAACCTCACCTTTCCCGGTTATCAGTAGCTCACAAAAGCTAACACCTTGAGTTTAATATTTCATAAATAGACAAAAGTGTTAGGAAAATGCTTCAAGACTGAAACATGTTCACGTTTTGAATTGTTATTGCTTTCCTAGTTTTAAGGAGTCAGTTCTAAGTGTTTTGTTATCATGACTTATTCCAAGAACCGTATTGTTAGTGGGCGGTTATTTTCTTTAGTTTTATAAATTGTAATGTTTATGTTTTATAACATAAACAGATAATCATCTTTATCCTTAAATATATCTACGTGCTCTCTCTCCATTAAGTACATTCTTTTTTCCTTTCTTAAAAATTTCAACATGTGGTATCTAGAGCCCTTTTCTTACGGCAACGGATTCTGAAAAAAGTTTTTCCCAAGCAGCTCTTCCAGTTTTTAATGGGGAAAACTATGATCTTTGGGCTGTCAAAATGGAGGTTTACCTAGAGGCGTTGGACCTTTGGGAAGCTATAGAAGAGGATTATGAAGTCCTTCCGCTGCCAAACAATTCCACCATGGCCCAGAACAAGAATCATAAGGAGAGAAAAACCCCAAAGGCAAAGGCAAAGGCAAAAGTCATGCCTTTTCTGCTAGTGTCTCTACAACCATCTTTACTAGGATCATGACTCTCAAATCTGGAAAAGCAATTTGGGATTATCTAAAAACAGAATATGTTGGAGATGAAAGAATTTGAAGCATGCAGGTACTTAATTTAATGAGGGAATTTGAGCTTCAGAGGATGAAAGGGTCTTACACAATCAAGGAATATTCAAACAAATTGTTGGTTATTGCAAACAAGATAAAGTTGTTAGACAGTGATTTTGTAGATTCTAGAATTGTTGTGAAAATTTTGGTAACGATATCAAAGAGGTACGAAACATCTATTGCTTTGTTAGAGAACACAAAGGATTTGTCCAAAATCACTTTTGCAGAAGTCATACATGCCTTCCAGACCCAAGAGAACCGAAGGATGAAGAAAGATCATGACATTGTAGGTGCTTTTCTAGTCAAGAGCCAACAAGCAAAAAACTACAAGAATCATTCAGTCAGCAGTGTGAGCAAATAAAAAGGTGAAAAGAAACACTACCCACCTTGTCAGCATTATGGCAAAATGGGTCACCCTCCATTTAGATGTTGGAAGAGACCTGATGCTAAATGCATCAAGTGCAATAAAATGGGACATAAAGCAACCATATGCATGAGCAAAAATCAGCATCAAGAGGAAGAAGCTAAGACTATTACCAGGAAGAGGAGGAGGATCAACAATTTGTGGCCATATGTTTTGCGAGCAGTGAAGAGAGTAAGAGTTGGTTAATTGACAATGGTTGCATAAATCATATGACCAATGACAAAGAGTTTTTCAAAGATTTAAAGTCAACCAATATCACCAAAGTCCAAATAGGGAATGGTGATTATATTTCGGTCAAAGGAAAGGGGAATGTTGCAATAGTAAGCTGCTCAGGTACAAAGTTTATTTCTGATGTCCTTTTTATACTCGAAATTCAACAAAATTTGTTAAGTGTTGGCCAATTGATTGAAAAAGGTTTCAAAGTTACTTTTAAAGACAATTTTTGCTTGATTAGAGATGCAGCTAGTCAGAATGTTTTTAAATTAAAAATGAAAGGGAAAAGTTTTGCTTTAAATCCATTGGAGGAGGAGCAAGTTGTTTTTCCAATAAAGGAAAACATCACAGAAGTTTGGCACAAGAGGCTTGGGCATTATCACTACCAAGGGATGCTACAAATGAAGTCCAGAAAAATGGCAGTTGATCTTCCAGAACCTGATGATCACATACTAACATGCAAGGTTTGTTTATTTGGAAAGAAAAAAATGAAGTCATTTTCGAACTCAACCAAAGGAGTCACTTGAAAGTTGAAGTTAATCCACACAGATATATCTAGACCTCAAAAAACTCCTTCATCAGCAGGTAATCGATATTATGCTGCATTTATTGATGATTTCACAAGAATGTGTTGAATTTTTTTCTTGAAGTTCAAGTCAGAAGTAGCTGGAGCTTTCTGAGAGTTCAAAAAATTAGTAGAAAACCAAAATTTCAAGCAAATCCATATTCTAAGATCTGATAATGGCAAGGAATACACTTTAGAAAAATTCAATCAATTTTGTGAGGAATTTCGGCATTGAACATCAGTTAACCACATCCTATACTCCACAACAGAATGGGATGAATGAAAGGAGAAACAAATACATCCTAGAGATGACTAGATTCATGTTGCATGAAAAGAATCTACCCAAGAAGTTATGGGCAGAAGCAACTCATACAGCTGTTTTTTTTTTTTTTCAAAATAGACTCCTCACAAAAGCAATCAAGGATCAGACAGCATATGAGGTTTGGTATGGCTATAAACCATCTCTAAATTTTCTCAAAATATTTGGATGTTTGTGTTTCACTCATGTTCCATAAACCAAGCATGACAAACTTGACAAAAGAGCACCAACAAGCATTTTTATAGGTTACAACACTGTTAGCAATGCCTATAAAATATTTCAACCACAAACTGGAAGCATTGTTGTTAGTAGAGATGTCCACTTCCTTGAGGATGAAGAAGAAAGTGCAGTAAACAAAGCTCCGCAAACCAATGGTGGATGGGTTTCAGCAACCTCTCACATAGTTTCCTATTGCGAATATACGACGCTCGTCAGCAACTTAGATAGACGAATCGTCTCTTATCCTGCGCCTTCCCACTAATCCATAGAAGAGTCCTGCTTGGAGCTGGACCTATTCTGATTCTGAATTATCCGTCGCTACGCTGTTCCCAAGGACTAGCAAAATCGAAATAGCGAAATTCTTGTTTCTTCTCTTCGATAAGAATAGGGATTTGAAATGATACAAATTCCTCTTCATTCTGTTGTGCTCAGCGAAGGAACTGCCTAAGCATACGATTGTCGACCACCAGATCCGCTGGTCTGCAATATTCACCCTAGCCCACAAGCACAAATCCTCGGCGCGGAATATAATCCCCAGATATATATAATAATTCGAGCACCCTTTTCAAATGCATATCCAATTTTTGCACAGCAGGGTTATGAAAATCCCCGAGAAGCAACCAGAATGTATTTATTTCTTTGAATACGGGTATTAGATTGAATCAGATTCTTTTGGCCCAGCGGATCCATTGTTTGTTTATGCGGCAGTGCGATGCAGCTGAAAGGAAGCCCTTAGGTATAGGTTGGGGAAAACTCGATACGAGAGAAAGACCCCACCCAGGGTCTTACTCTCTCCACTTCGCTTAGCTTACAGCTTCTATGCCAAGGAAGGGCTATTATATAGATTCGATTGATTCTGAAGCTTCTAGCGAGAGTTGATTCTGTGGAACCCAAGGAAGGACTACTTCTTAGCCAGCTTTCCATCCGAAATCTGATTCAAATCCAATATAGCACCGAATCTGTTTCGAGACTTCGTCATTGAGAGCAACTAACTGCCATTATTCCGAGGCTTATAGATACCGAACAAACGAGCTCAGAGACGATTCTCTTTCTTGAAAATGACCTTTTCTCCTGGTGGCTGTTTGAGCTCCTTCTCTTCTTTTACAGTGGAATTGGGATGAGGCAAACAAGAAGGATCAAATTGTGGCAAAGATGCAGTTTAAGTCACATGCTTCAAAACCTAAATAGGAAGAAGAAGATTGGCAGAATGAATTGGTAGATGACTCTCCTTTGAGAGGTACTAGACCACTCTCTGATATTTATGAGAGGTGTAACATTGTTGTTTGTGAACCTACAAATTTTGGAGCAGCAGAAAAAGATCAAACTTGGGTGGCTGCAATGAAGGAGGAAATGTTTATGATTGAGAAAAACTGAACATGGGAGTTAGTTGATCGATCCCAAGATAGGAAGGTGATTAGAGTCAAATGGGTATACAAAACCAAGTTAAATTCGGATGGTTCCATCAGCAAATACAAAGCAAGACTTGTTGTGAAAGACTATGCTCAAATCTTTGGTATGAATTAACTCAAACGCCTTTGCACCTATTGCTCGTTTGGACACCATAAGGATTTTGTTTGTTGTAGCTACTCAGATGAATTGAAAATTATATCAATTCTATGTGAAATCAGTATTTTTAAATGGTGTTTTACATGAAAAAATTTATGTTGAACAGCCTGAAGGTTTTGTGAAGAATGAAGAGCAGGACAAGGTGTATAAGGCTCTTTACGAGTTAAAACAAGCTTCACGAGCTTGGTATAGCAGGATAGATGACCATTTGTTAAGCATCAAATTTAAGAAAAGCTTGTCTGAAGCCATTCTTTATGTTAAACATCAGACCAATGATGTTTTGACAATTTTACTTTATGTTATGATCTTTTAATCATAGGAAATAATGCAGGGATGGTCCAGGAATTCAAACAAGAAATAATGATGGTTTTTGAGATGACAGGTCTCGGGTTAATGACTTTCTTCCTTGGAATGGAAATTATGCAGGCTAAACATGAAATCTTTATCTGCCAAAAGTAGTATGCCAAGGAGATTTTGAAGAAGTTTGAAGAATACAAAGAAGCCAACACTCCTATGAATCAAAAGGAGAAGCTGAGTAAGGAAGATGGAGTTGATAAAGTTGATGAGGGATACTTCAGAAGTTTGATTGGTTGCTTGTGTATCTTACTGCAACACGCCCTAATATTTTAAATGTTGTAAGCATTTTGTCCAGTGGTATGCACTGTGCAAGTGAATTACATCTTAGAGCTGCCAAGAGAATAATGTGATATGTCAAAGGCACAAGTGATTTTGGTGTTAAGTTCACATGGAACAAAGAATTTAAGCTGGGTGGTTTCTCTGACAGTGGCTGGAGAGGCTCCATTGATGACATGAGTAGCATATTTCAAGCTATTGTGTTACTCTTGGATCTAGTGTTTTCTCATGGAACTCAAAGAAACAAGAAATTGTAGCTGAATCCACTCCTGAAGCACAATTTATTGCAGCAACAGCTGCTGTTAATCAAGCATTATGGCTGAGAAAGATTTTAATGGATAATATAGAGCAAAAAGAAAGCACCAAGATTTTTGTTGACAACCAAGCTGCTATTGTTATTTCCCATAACCCTGTGTTTCATGGGAAAACTAAGCATTTCAACATCAAGTTATTTTCCTAAGAGAAGTACAAAAAATGGATTTGTAACATTGGTTTACTACAAGTCTGAATGAAAATCAGCTTGCTGATTTACTTACAAAGCCACTGCCAATTAGTAGGTTCAAGCTTCTAAGGCAAAAAGATTGGTGTTTGCAAATCCTAAAGCAAGGAGGAGTGTTAGGAAAATGCTTTAGGACTAAAACATGTCCATGTTCTGAATTGTTATTTTTATTTGTTAATTGCCTAGTTTTAAGGAGTCAGTTTTAAGTGCTTTGTTATCATGGCTAATTCTGTTTTTTCTTTCTTAAAAATTCCAGCAAAAAGGAAGTAAAAAGAGTCACTCATGTATTTTTTCCTCGTAATAATCAATATTAACAAGACCGTTATATACATTGAATGAGGCTACTTTGCATACAACAAGAAAAAAAAAACACATCAAAAGGGACAAGAGTTAATAACGGTGAAACTATTTATCGAAATAGATATTGAACTGAATCACTAACATAGCTATCCCTACTTACAGCTTTTGCAGCAACTGGAGCAACCAAGTGTGCCGCTGAAAAGGATGGAAACACAAATCATTCACCAATACAATCAACCAAGCCCAATCATCAATGTTGAAGCAGTAGCACATTACAGCGCAAAGTTTGAGAATGGACAAAAGATCAGGAATTTGACAAAAATGCCAGTCAGTAACTCAATCAAGCAGTAACAATTCATCTGCAATTTGCATGTAATACTGATAGATACAAAACATTCTGAAAATAATAACTTATTTTACATAATAATATCTATCAAATACAAACAAAAGCAACAAATTCTTCCCCATTTTATTTCACTTCTAAACATTTCAATTATCCTTGAGGAGAATTATTTAGGAGTCACCAAAAATGTTGAAAATATAACAAGCATGTAGAAGAGGCCTGTGCAGCATAAAGTTAAGTTTGTTTTACAAAATAACAGTATGCCTTATTCCAATCAAAGAAGCATGATTAAGTTAGATGAAAAAGAAAAAAATAATTGATCGGATAACACATCATTCTGTGATAAATTTAACAAATGAAACAAGGGATAACTAAGAAGCTAATATAATCCATAGTCCACAATAACCCTATTTTCAGAAACTACCTGTCATGACTCCAATGCACGTCATAATATTGTTGCCATTAATCTTCCATTTTGACTGAAGACAGTTTTCAGCCTGGGGAGGTTTCTGGTGTGTATTGATGGGAACAATATGCCTGCCTACAAAGAAAAAGGAGTCAAAAAACAAAGAGAGGATACCATGTTTTACATTTTACTCAAAAATATGATAAAGATAGCAATATCTGATGAAATAATGGGCCCTTTCATACCCGCCACAACTTCATTTCATAAAAAAAAAGAAACAATACACATCAAATAATTTGTTTTTTAAATAGAGCGTATTCTCCATAAAAGATTATCCTACTCATGCCAATTAGGACCAGTAAAACTCGTATTCCGTATATTTTTTAAGCTCAAATTCTCAAATCTGTCCCACTTGATACATCCAATAGCAGTAGCAAAATTAGCAAATTAAATTTTTAAGAAATTCATGTGACCTTCCTTATACATCTTCGAAAAAAGAAGAAAAACATAAACATTAACAAAGTGAGGAAATTATAATTTTAAGAAAAGAAAAAACCTATTAATGATAAACATGGACGCATATAAATGGCAGACTAACCATCTCGGCGAAGATTGCAGCTTGCAATTCTGCGACGTGGAGACTGAAGACTATAAATACCACACAAGCTCATACTCAAACTCATCTGAATATACAATTAGACAAAAAAAAAAAAAAAAAAAAGATTGAAAACAATAATTATTTTCGAAATAAAAGCTCAGAAATTTTCATGTAATTTTTTTTTTCATTGAATGGGTCACAGTTTGTATTTATTTTATTTTTTTTGGATCCAAACAAAGTGTTCAAGAGCCGAAAAACTTATTGTTGAAACACGAAACTATGAATGGGATATGAAAAATATCTAAGCCCCAAGTTGAGCTGTGGCGGTTATTAAGCTCACTTAATAACTTAATTTGATAAATTTATAATATTTTTATAATATTAAATTATGTATTAACATATTTTAAATAAAAACAAAACAAAATGTTATATACTGGTTTTACATTTTTATTCAACCAAAATTATTATATATAATAAAATTGTCGATTCTTAAAATAAATATTTAAAAAATTTATTTTTATTTATTTTACAGCACATTTATATAATAACTTTCATATTTAGATTAATATTAATATATGATAATTGGTTAAGACTTGGAGTGTGAATTTTATTGTTCCCTAAAGATCATTTATTTTGCATAACTATAACTTAATTAATTATTATGTGAATATTTGGAAAGAAAGGCATATACAAAAAGAAAAAAAAATAGTAATCATAATGAATATTTTGATAAAAAAATTAAAAAATATTAGTATGTTTTTATTATTTTCTTCTTGTTGTCATATTTTGTAAATCCCTTGTATTTATTATTTATTTACAAATTATTTTTCATACATAAAAAAAACTTATACAGTGCAAAAATAATTTCTATAAATATTGTTTTTTACAAGATTTATATGATTATTTTATTAATTTGGATTTTAAAGAATTTATAAAATATAAAATTATGAACTTTGAAAAGATTTTATGAATTTACAATAAAATTTAAAAGATTATATATATATATATATATATATATATATATATATATATAAAATAAAACTAAACACTTTATGTATTTAATTCTTTTACATTATAATACATCTAGTATATATTATCTTGTTAGACAAATTTATGTGACTTAAATTGCATTTTAGTGACAGTCAATATTGATATTATAATAAATTATCAAAGAGAGAAATAACCGTTGATATTATATTATTATTATTAGTATTATTAAAATAATAAATAATTTTATTATTTATATATTATTCTAAATAAATAATTTTAAATATCCATTAAAAAATAAAATGTGTGACAAAGGAATATATATTAAAAATTTCACTCTTTCTTAAAAATAAAATATAATTGTGAAGTAGGTATTTCAAATAACAAGATATAATATTTTGTTAAACATTCAAGGACTTGATTTTGAACTTACATGGACATGAAGCTTGTTGATTTTGATGATGATTCAAGAACACAAGACTTAGAGAGTTGAAGACTTGTTTTATAGTATAATAACTCTGTTTTGATTAGTTTGAGTCTGTAATATTAGAATTTAAGATAGTCGGTACATAGTCTGCACTTTAGAAGCTTCAAAAACTCAAATTTATCTTTTTGCCTCGGCTTTAATCGATTAAATGGTCAAATAATCGATTATTACAGTGAGAAAAACCATTTTCTGTATCTATTCACTGTAATAATCGATTAACACACCTGTTAATCGATTAACAGGCCTGTTAATCGATTAACAAGCCTGATTAACAGGGCTTTTAATCGATTAAAACAGTGAATTTTGGGGTTCTGTTGATTTTGGCTCTCTAATAATCGATTAACACTTCATTTAATCGATTATTCAGTCAGATTTTGATTTTCAACTTCAAATCAACCCTATTTTCGAAAACCCTAATCCCAAGACTCCTAGTTCCGAAATTCCCAATTCTCAAACCCTAATTTCTCTACTTAAGATTCTCTATGGTACTTAGAAAAATAGAACAACATTTTTCAAACAAAAGTTTAAGTGCTGTGAGTGTCAGAGAACTGTTTGTTGGAGGAAAAAGGGGCTTTTGGAACCTGGTGTGGGCTAGAAGCGATAATAATCACTAAGTGAAGTTCTTAGTGGATTGTGTGTTGTGCCGTCTTTGGGGAAAGTTGTTCTTCATCTCTTGTGGGTTTCAAGAGAGGTGTTTTCTTTACTTTGTATTTTCAATTGTTATCTGTTTGTAACAACTTTGATTATAGTGACAGCGTTAATCCTCTGTTTGAGTGATTAGCAACTGGACGTTGGGTCTTTTGATCCGAACCAGTATAAATCTTCTGTGTAAGATTCTATCTCTACTCTATTTACTTTACACAGTATTTTAATCGGTAAAATTTGGGGAAAATTTTTAAAACCTAATTTTTGTTAAGAAACCAATTCACCCCCCTCTTTGTTTTAGTCCGACCATGCGAACATTCTGTTGCGCAATTCTAACAAGTGGTATCAGAGCTTGCTTTGATAGTCATTCAAACTTTTCGAAAATGGCCGGACAAAATCAAACTTTTGCGAATGTGTGTCTATCAACATACCCTCACTTTTTTTGCGGGTCAAAATTATCCTTTCTGGAAAGTAAGAATGCAAATCTTTTTAGAGTATGTTGATAGAGGCGTTTGGGACGCTATTTTAAATGGTCCATATGTTCCTAAAGTTACTGAGAACGGTGTTGACGTTCCTAAACCTTTTTCTAGATGGACAACAGAGGAAAACAGAAAAGCATAATTTGACGTTAGGGCTAGAAATATAATTTCATCTGCTTTAACCCTTGACGAGTTTTATAGGATTTCGGTTTGTAAAAGTGCTCAGGAGATGTGGGAAATACTAAGAGTAACTTATGAAGGAACCGATGATAGTGACTCGATTTCGGAATCAAGTGACTCAGAAATAGAAACTAACATTTGCTTGTAGGCAAAAGACAATATATCTTTCGACTTTGAGGTTAGTGATTCCGACTCATCCTCAAGTGATGATGAAAATGATTTTGATGAATTACAAAATGCATATGAAGAATTGTTTAATGTTTTTAAGGACTTGAAACATGAATATAAAGTTGTGAAGAAGAATTTAAGTAGATCCGAAAAGGAGGTGGAACCCTTAAAAACGAAAATTGTATGTTTAGAGGAAAAGGAGTCATTAAAAACGAAAATTGCATGTTTAGAGGAAAAGGAAGCCTTAGAAACGAAAATTGTATGCATAGATGAGAATGAAGATAAGAATATAGTATGTTCATCTTGTAAAGAATATGAGTATGACATAGATATACTTAATCATTTGCTTGATAAAGCCGAAAAGGAATTGAGTAATAATAATAAGGATAAAATTGTTGTAACTCAAAATAGTATAAATCATCAAGTTTCTATGAAAAAGCCTAAAACTAAAAAGAGAAGAGTATGGCTGGAAAAAGGAACTAAATTATCTATTGTTAGAAATACATCATTTTCAAAAGCTACATTTAAAACATGTTTTTATTGTATGAAACATGGTCATACTTCAAATAGATGTAAAATAAAACATTTTGGTGTTTCTAAAGGAAAATATATTTGGGTTCCTATAGTTAAATGAATTGTTTGTCTCTTGTATTTATTCAAAGAAAATTAATCATTTAGTATGTTTTAAATAGAATGCTCATTAGGTCAATTATAAAATCAACTCCCTATGAATTGTTAAATGGTAGAAAGCCTAATGTTGCTCCTTTAATAATATTGGATGTAAGTGCTTTGTGTTAAATAATGGAAAGGACAACTTAGGAAAATTTGAATCAAAAGCCGATGAGGGCATTTTCTTAGATTATTCATTAACTAGCAAGGCTTACAGGGTGTTTAATAGAAGAACCTTAAATATTGAAGAATCTATTCATGTTACTTTTGATGAAATTGTAGACCTTGGGGGAAACCCTCTTGAGTCAAATAAAGAACTTACAGGTGATGATGAGTATATAAGAGAGGCTCTTGATGAATTATATTTGGAAGAAAATGAGTCTTCTCAAACACCTGAATTAGCAAAAGATTGGCAATCTCCAAGAGGACTCTCAATGGACAATATCATTGGTAATATCTCAAAAGGGGTAAGAACTAGAAATATGACTAATTTTTGCATGTTTGTAGCTTTTATGTCACAGATAGAACCCAAAAATGTTGAGGAAGCGCTTAAAGATGACCAATGGTGCATAACAATGCAAGAAGAACTTAACCAATTTGAAAGGAATCAAGTTTGGGAATTAATCCCAAGGGAAGAATCACATCAAGTTATTGGAACCAAATGGGTGTTTAGAAATAAACTTGATGAAGATGGAAACATAACAAAGAATAAAGTCAGACTTGTTGTCAAAGGCTATTGTCAGGAGGAAGGTATAAATTATTATGAAACTTATGCTCCTGTTGCCAGGTTAGAGGCTATACGCCTACTTCTTGCTTATGCATCTTTGATGAAATTTAAATTATATCAAATGGATGTTAAAAGTGCATTTTTGAATGGTTTTATTAAAGAAGAAGTTTATGTGGAGCAACCCCCTGGATTTAAAGATTTTAGTTATCCTAATCATATTTTTAAATTAAAGAAAGCATTATATGGGTTGAAACAAGCTCCTAGATCTTGGTATAAAAGGCTAAGTAGTTTCCTAACTTCAAATGATTTTTCTAGAGGAAAAATTGATTCTACTCTATTTATAAAGAAAGTTAAAGAACATATCTTATTGGTCCAGGTATATGTTGATGATATTATTTTTGGATCAACTGATAATTCGTTATGTGTAGAATTTGTTAAGATAATGCAGGGAGAGTTTGAAATGTCTATGATGGGAGAATTGACATTCTTCCTTGGACTTCAAATCAAGCAACTTAAAGATGGCATTTTCATCTCTCAAACCAAATACTGCAAAGAGATCCTTAAAAAGTTTGGAATGGACACCTCAAAGGAAGCTAACACACCCATGGGAACTTCATGCTATCTAGACAAGGATGAATCAGGTTTGGAAGTTAATCAATCTATGCATAGAGGTATGATAGGTTCACTGTTATACTTAACTGCAAGTAGACCTGATATTATGCATTCTGTCT